TCCTTGGAGAAGGATCTTATAATCTCATGTCCTATGCTACAAAGGGAAACCAAAACCTGCAGGTGTTTCTCATTTAGCACATTTTGCCCATAATAAAGCACTGTGTGGTGTTTTGAGAGAATATAATCAGAAATAATACCTACTTTTGTGGCACTGCTTTCCTACTTTTTTTCTATTTCATGAGTGAAAAGATGCAGTTACACAGCAGTGTTACACATGGTATCCATGAGATCCCTCTTACCAAGAGCAGGGAATGTCTGAGAAAGGGGACAAGACCCTGCACAGACTAAATTTGTAGATACATGGCAATACATACCAGAATAAGTATGCCAATGTAAATTAGTCTACTGTAGTTACTCTGATATAACTCCCTGTATAGACACACTTATTTTGAAATATTTTCCCTTGTGCAAAGTACAGATATTCTACACAAACATCATTTAAGTCAACCATGCCCTTTTAAGCTGTGGTTAAAGTCATTTGCTTGTGCCTGTTCAAAACACTGTTTACTACCTTTCCTGGCTGAGGGAATTCATATTTATATTAGATTTGGATGTAGTTAAATTTATAGTTTAAGGTAACTATTGCTCTACCAATAACCCCTCTTCCCTTTGATTTTGTTTTTTTTTCTATTGCTAGAATTTTAATTCTAATATTTTTCTATTGCTAGGACATATTTGAAGACCTTGAACAGAAAACATAATAAATCTCTGTATACCGAACTAAAAGATAGTAACCCCTTCCTGCTTCTGCAGATTTACATGTCAGCTAAGAAACCAACTCTTACTTAGGCAGAAAGGAAGATAAAGGGATGAATTTCATAGCTCTCTCTAAAAGAAGATTCTAATTAAAACTGACTTTTGGATGGCAAACTGGTTCTGAAAGCTTAGTTGGTGAGGATTTTTTTTAAATGTGTAAATTTAAAAATGTTATAAGCAATTTTTGAGAGCTAATAATCTTGGAATACCAGCAGCACAGCCATAACAGACATGTTTTTAGAAATTAACTACATTTAAAAGCATCGTCAGTATCTGGAGCTAACTATTTTTAAAAACCCAAACTTCAATGAGCATGCCACAGTTAAAGGAATTACAATTTTACAGAAAGTGACAAGAAACGAAACCAAAACTTAAAGTATATTAAACAAAGCAGCAAATTACTTAACTGCAAATGCTGGACTTCAAAGCATCATTTGTAACCATGCTTAGTGGAGAATAGAAAAAAAACCCACAACAGTCTGTGTTTGCAACAGAGATGAAGAGATAGAGCTCAGTCAGTAGGCTATTGGTTATGAAGCTGCCCCTGGAACTGTACAAACACTGCATGCAAAGAAGGAAACAAATTCACTTGACCATGTTTTCACAGCAGCAGCTGACCGCTGCACATCAATCACAATTTTAAAATGAACATAGAAGCAAGAACAAAGCATAAAACCTGTAATTACTTTCAGAGCCTTGAGCACGTGCCACATGTGAAAGCAAAAGTTTGAGGTTACAATATATTATACCGTGCACTTCCATAGCGCCTTTCGTGAAAAACTATAAATTGCTTTTCAAAGTGTTGCTACTTCAAAGTGTTGAAACTTATCACTGCTGTATTACAGATGGGGAAAACAGAAACAGAAGGATTAAATAGCTGACCCAAGATCTCCCAAGGAGTGGCAGAGTTGGAAATCACTTTCCTACAATTTTCACCTTTATGCCCTAACCTTTAGGGCATGGGGTCAAACATATGGCCTGCAGACATCACCTGCCTGCGGCCTTGATGGGGGAACACCTTCCCACAGCTGCAGACAATCACCTGAACACAACCAGTAGTGCTGTAGCCCCAGTAGCACTGTGGCTTGTTTCTGCAGGGGCAGCTCCAGCAGATCTCTTCTCTCTTGTCTATAACTGTTTCCCCTGACCTGCTCTCAATTTCATTCTGCATTGCTTGACTTACATATCACTTAAACTAGCATCATGTACAGAGCATAATGCATCTCCCTGTAAGTAAAGTCTTGAGAGTATAACAATCTAGTTACACACACAAGTAAACAGTATCATGAACAGACTTACCCAAGTCCATGATGCATAAAGACAGAAAAAGGGTTTTAACAAATATTTACAACCATCTTCCAGTAATTTTAAAACCTTGATCAAATCCATGGGAAAAAATGTATATGTGGATTCATCATAATGAAATGTTATAGTAACAGTTAATAATTAACTGTTACTATATCTTTGTAGGAAGCACTCTGCTATCACGTCCTACATCAAATGCTGTAGTAACAACTCACATGAAGACCTACATTTGCCAAGCATCAGAACTTGTGGGCAAAGGTTTCCATTATACTATGCATGCACTTAAAATTATTTTATCCACCCTTGAGCTGTAGGAAAACACCATCAGTCCACTCTACCTCTAACCATGCAAAGCCAAAAGAGATGCATATTGTTTAGAGGCGGTTAGTGAAGGTGTTACACACACTACCTCAGATTAATGTAAGGGCTTTAATGATTTACTATAGCTCAAAATTCTTATTGGCTCCATAATTCAATCATAAAAGCATTATAATTGCTTTACAGGTAATGTTATCTAGGTTCACAGTTAAAGCAGGAGATAAAGTGCCATTATAACTGTAGCTACAGGTAAGGCTTGTACTATTTTAACTGCACTGGTGGAGGTGGAGCAGTGTGACACTTTTGTGTGGACAAACAATATATACTTCACTTCTGTGCCTTCTGTCAGTGCTTTGTAAACTATGGAATGACAACCAGACAGGGAGGAAAATTAAAAATCAAGAAATATGTTTGTGAACAACAACGTATTAAAAATAACTACCAACACAGTCTTTATGGAAGGTTAGCAGAGACCTTATTTGATCACAATTGTCGATGCATAGGCACAAATACATGTTTCTGGTTTCACATGCTATTTCCCACCAGTTCACCAGCTTAGGAGCAGAGCCACCCCTAAGAGTGTGCAGGGCCCAGTGTATATCAGCCCATGTGGGACGGGGGGTGGGAAAGCGGCCGGAGCATGGAGCCAGCAGCATGCGGCAGCCATGGCAGAGCTGGCGGTGCCTTTACAGCACTGTCCGTGGAGCCTGGGACGGTCGCCCTGATTCACTTCTCCTAGGGATGGCCCTGCTCAGGGGTCAGCAATATTTTTGGGCAGAATGACAAAAATACCTGCAAACTTGACTTGTAAGATGTTGGTGTGCTGGGGTGGATGGTGGAGAGGCCCGATCATTGTTGTGGCAGCGCAGCCTCAGTCCCTTCTCCACCATCTGCCCCAAGGCACATGTGCCAAGCAAAAAGTCTTTGTGTACTACGCTCTGGCACCCATGCCAGGGGCTGCCTACCCCTGTACTAATTGATAGCACCATGTCAGTGACTGACGTCATTCAATCCCTCTCCCCACACACACACACACACACACACACACTGTAGGACATTCTCCCCAAAACGACCTGATGAACAATGTGTTGTATTCAAAAGCTTGTCTAACTCTGTTACACAGCTGGTCCAGTAAAAGATACCAGCATAAGAAATTTTTCCCTTTTGCAGAGATTCATAAAGCAGTTTTAGAGCCCAAGAACTAGCTAACCTGTTTTAATAGGCCATTCATCTCATGTTGGACTTAGGAAGACACAAATGAACAGGTTTGAAGTATAAAACATGTTCATGAAAGGTGATTAAGAAATTAACACAATAACTAGCTGAGTATTTGCTATGAATAGCTTGCAAATTGCTCCTCTACCCCTTTCAGAAACTAGAAGTATATTTTAGAGAGAAGAACAGTTTTCATAGTTCAGTCAGTGAGTGGGACAGTGTTGTGAGAAAGATGAACATAGAGCAATTAAACCAGAAACCTACCCTCAACCTGTAACATTAATTGGTGACACATGTTTTCTAAAACTAAGAGGGTCAGTCAGAATGGCCACAAAACTTCAAGGGCCAAGAGTTAGTTTCACTGATTATTGTAGCTGCAGAAGGCAGGAAAGATTTGCACCTTATAGAGAAACTAAATCAGAGATGTATAGCAGAAGTTTCCATGAACTTGAGCTCACTTCATCAGTAGCTGTAACCAGTAAGGAGGACAAAGGGAACAGCTGCACGTTAAAACCCTGTTATGGCTTTAGAATTCATGCACACTCTTGCTTTTGCTCCTGTCTCCCCTCACTTTTGCATTTTGAAAGGGAGTAGGAAGGACTTGGGCACTGCTAACTTTTAGACGCATACAATAAAGAAAAGAAAAAGATAAAATTATCACTTGTGAGAATGTTTATTCCCCATCATGTGTCCACTACAGTCCTAAAACGAACAACTATTTGAGTGCTTCATATCTAACATTTGATTCTCTAATAAAGAAATCACACATAAAAGAAAATCCTTTTCTGGAGTAAATAATTTCAAAATACTCCCTCCTCTCCACATACTTTCCCTTTTTCTATTAATAAGAAATTTCCCATCTCTCTAACCTAACTCAAACCAGTACTCTTTTCCTGTTAAATTGTGCCAAGGTGAAAAGGCATGGTAAGAAACTAAGCATCCTAGTCTCTTCTCTAAAACTTTCTGAGAGCAGTTACACCTATTGCCAAGAGCGCTCCAGATTCCTTAAACTTACAATGGCACTTGCCAGCTAACCTGTTGGGAGTAGGAGTCACTATACCAGGGGCGGGCAATTATTTCAGGTGGAGGGCCACTTACCCAGTTTTGGCAGGCCATCCAGGACCACATGGGTGGCCCCACCCCTTGACAGGTGCCCCGCCCCCTGGTCATACGTTGCTGGACATACGTCAAGCCAACATGCTAGTGAACCATGCCATAAACTGTGACTGGCCACAAATGCAAAGCAATGATCACCCATTAAAAGGACCCCCCCAGTATCAAGCTAGAGAAGCAGTGCTTGAAGAGGGGTAATGACTCTAGAGCCAGTTTCCAGCCAGCTTGAATGGTAGCAGACAACAAAATGAGGGAGCAACCATCTCAAGTTGCAGTGAGGAAAGTTCAGGTTAGATACAAGGAAAAAAACTCCCTCATGAGGAGGGTAGTAAACCACTGGGACAGGTTACCCAGAGAAGTGGCACGATTTCCATCCTTGGAGGTTTTTAAAACCTAGCTTGACAAAGCCTTGGCTGGGATGATTTCCCTGGGGAGGGTCCTGCTTTGAGCAGGGGGGCTGGAGTAGATGTGACCTCCTGAGGTCCCTCCTTACTAGGGTTGCCAGCTCTGTTTGAATCTATTCCAGGAGGTTTCATTGTAATGACATGAATGAGTCATGATGTCAGGAAGGCAAATGCATATGACTACTACATTAAAAAAACCCTGCTGGACTCCTGTAGAAATCGGATTCAACATTTAGTATTGATTTGAATGAATGCCCTTTCATTGATCTGCCCCCGGGTGACTCTCAGCAGTCTCCTGGAGATTTTTATCTAATTCCTGGAGGGTTGGCAACCCTACTAACCCTCCTTTTCTATGAGTCTCGGATGCAGAAGGGGCCCTTAAGGGTTTAGAGCAGCCTTCAGGCTGGGGAGACAAATCCCTCCTGACTTCCGGGCTTCAGGCAGCCACTGCCCCTTGCCTTTGCGTCCCAGCCCTTCTTCGTGGGGAGCACGCCTGGGACTGGAGGGGTGGAGGAAACTGCTTCTAATAAGCAAGCAGCCGGGCAGCACCTCAAGCCCCAGAGCCGGGAGGACCTGGAGCTGGGAGCACGGCTGCGGGGAGCGGAGGGGAAAGCCTCTCACCTGCCTGGAGCCCAGCCGCTGCCGCCGCCGCCGCCGCCCAGGCAGGCAGGGCAGGGCAGGGTAGGGCAGGCTGCTGTGGGAGGAGCTTCGGCCGGCCCCCTCCCCCCGGGAGAGCCGGGGCGCTCCCCCCCGCCCCGCTAGAGCGATGCCACATGGGCCCACAACCCTCCCGCGGGCAGCGGGGGGGTGGGACTTTGATCCCTAAGAAGCTCGCAGGCAGTGCTGTGAGGCAGGGGGCAGGTACCACGCTTGCGGGCACCAGCAGCTTGCCCATGTGGCAGGCAGGCGGCCGGCCCTGGCAGGCTCAGGGAGACCCGCGGGGCCCCACTCGCGAGACACCCCAGGATCACGGCTTCTTTCAGCTCTTGCTAGGTTTGGGGCAGGAAGGCAGTCGCCCTCTCAGGGGTTTCAGGCTCCAAAGGGATTGGGTCAAACTGTGACTCATTTAAAGCAGAACCAAAAAGAAAAAGTCACGCCTCAAACGTGGGTCCTCCGGCAACGTTTCCCATTGCCCCGCCCCCCAAGCAGGGACAGCATCCTAGTCTAATATGCGGGTCCAGTCGCCAAGGTGGTACAAAGTACTATAAGTTTGTTTCAACTTTGGGGGACTGGATACCCCTTCTCCCCAGCAAAATCATCAGACTTCCTTTTTATTACTAGAAATAATTTTTTCTCCTCTATTTCGGTGGTGCATTCCTGGTTTTCTTCAACTAGTTCCCTTAGGCTCACCAGGAAGACTGAATCTGACAACTTGAAATCTAGCTAGGCGTGGGGGAAAATGAATCCAAAATCCAGCATTGCAATCTGCCCCAGAATCCTCCTGCTAATTTTTCATTTTATGCTAATATTTTTTCTTATCATTTTAACCAGGGTTTCCA